GCAGGCGCATTTTTAAGACCGAACGGGAGTCGAGTAAACTCGTATTTCCCGTTGTTTACGGAAAAAGCGGTCTTTTCTATATCACTATTTCTTAGTGGGATTTGATGGAAACCACTTTTGAGGTCTAGAACGGAAAATACTTTATTTTCACCTAGTTGAGTAAGGACCTCATTTATTTCAGGGATTGGATATTTGTCTGCGATTGTTATTTTATTAAGCTTACGATAATCAATAACCATGCGATATTTCTTTTTTCCTGAGGAATCAGTTTTTTTGGGTACAATCCACACTGGTGAATTGTATGGAGAGCGAGAAGGTCGGATTATTCCGTCTTCTAAAAGTTCTTTTATTTGCTTGTTTACTTCGTCTTTCAGTGTCATTGGATACTGATAAAATTTCGAGTAAACTGGGTCATCGGACGAGGTTCGGATTACTGCCTTCACATTAGTTGTGTAGGTCAGTTTTTGGTTTGGATCAGCAAATAAATCCGGAAATGACTTGAGTAAATTTTTTAGCTTTGCTTTCTGTGTATCGGACAAATGAGACATTCTAGTAGTAATGGTATTTACTGCTTCAAATTGTTTTTCCTTAATAGGAATTTTGATACCATTTTTTAGTATCATTACACTTTTGCTGACGTTAATTTCAGCGCCTAACTCTTTTAAACTGTCATTGCCTAAGATCGCATCGAAAGATTTTAGTGTTGGTAATAGGAAAAATTTTATTTCTACATCTTTAATATTAAAAAGGTTCGCAATTTTATGGTGTGTAACTGGAGTGCTGCCTCCTACGGAAATGGCTTTGAAAGAATTTTGATTTAGTATGGGGTTGGTTACGAATCTTGGTTGAATATAGTTTCTATTCGAACCGGTATCTATTAGAACTTTTAAAAATTGTCCGTTCCTCATGTTACATATAAAATATGGAAGTGAGGAACTCTTTACTCTAAAAAATTCAGAGGAGTGGTTTCTTGATATTCATGTCCAATGTTGTCAGTGTCCACTTCGTCAATCTGTTCTACGTATTCTCCTAAATTCACTTCTAAGTTGTGTTCGTCTTCATAATCTGTCATTGTTCGTTCGTAATCTGCTATTGTGGCGTACGTTTCAGCCGCTTGGGCTTCTGCATCGTTCTCTATGGTTTGTATATTAAAATTTCTTTGTCTTTTCTGCCCGTCTGGCATTGGACCTGGTGGTCTTTTGCCAACTTCGAAACGTGGTCTATTAATATAATTCACCGCTCTTGTTTGTACGCTGGAGTCTACCTCCATGGGAACTGGACGGGGCTGTGGCTTTGGAGCCATCGGTCTTGCTGGTGCAAACTGTTGCAGTTGAAATGGTCCATTGGGGAAGGTTGGTCGGGGTGCAGCTGAAGGCTGGTGTCTGAAGCTATTAAAGTTCTGTCCGATCTGAGGGTTTGGCTGTTGATGCCCATAATGTTGGTATTGATAATTATAAACTCTTGGTGGAACTGGTGGGGCTTGTCTATTTTGTAACTGAATGTTACGTGGTGCTGGTATTGGTTTCAAATTAGAATTTCTAAAATTTCCCGATTGGCTCTTGTTAGTAGCGTGATTTGTTCTAAAGGTTTGGTTTTCTAACCTTAGGCACAGATGTAGTGCTGAAGGCAAATCTGCAGGCTCTTTAATTCCTAATAAGCGAGGTAAATCTCCTCGGAGTCCTCGTATAAATGTATCGAGAGCTTTATCCCTAAACATTTTTGTCATAAGTGATTCGGACTCTTTACTTAATCCCATACACCCGATTTTATTTAAAATGAGGGATAAGTGCTTGTACACCGCTTGGTGGAATTCTTCTACTGTTTGGTTACCAGCTTGTATCAACATGGTCATTTGATATTCTAAGGTGTTTATATCACGCTTGTCTGCATAATGAAGAGTTAGACATTTAGAAATGGCTATCCAATTGAGGGGTGTATTATAAGATTCTAATGCCGTATCGGCATGTCCTACAATCTTATTGCGTATGGTATGTAGAATGCCATAGTATTTTGGCGTTCCCTGATACGCGCTATATGCCTCTAGGATTCTGTCTACCCCTTTCTTCCAAGAGCTAAACTCTGAAGGGTCTCCCGAAAATTCCCTTATAGCCTTAACTATATCTGGTACCTTGTCTAGATCTTGTAAATTTTTAGCATGTTGTGGGGCAATTACCTGGTCACCTATGCTGGCGAATTCTTCTGGGGTGTTATGTTGTTGTAAAAGCCCTGGCAATTGCTGCGCTAACACTTCGCTTATCATAGCTGCAATTGCAGCTCTATCCATATTAACGGTCATGTTTGTCGGTTGTTCGTGTCCCTCACCTTGTGTTCCTACAGCTTCTCTTCTTAGTATTGGGGGCCTAATAAGGTTGTTTGCGTTGGCCATTAATTCTTACTTAATTACTTATTCTAATTAATTGTTAGTTCAAATTTCTTGGAGTTTTCTTTTTTTTTTTTTGCTTATGAATAAATTTATAACCAGTATCTGGTTGGTTCCTTCTACTTTCGAGGGTCCCTTGGGAATCGTAAAGTTGGAATTTTTTATACCACAATTGTGGTCTATTAATATAGTTATCGTTTTACACAGTTTTATGTGATCTTAATTTACTAAGTTTGTTTGTGTTAGTTTCTTTTGATAATAAAATTTTTTCAATCTTACAATACTATGATGAATGATGATATGGCTCCTCCCTCCGACGATCCGGATTTCATCCTTTTTGTAGCGTTACAGCAACTACTGGGGATCCTGCAATACGCACTTCTCGAGGGGTGATCTGCGACCTTGTCTACAGAACTTGGAGACCACCGATGGGCAAGAGAACAACTAAGTTCCAATTTCCTGGAGTTATGGAACGAAACGGAAAAATTTCTTTAGCCGTGAGTTGCGCGTTCACTTTACTCCTAGACCGATTGCTTGCAAAGGTAATTGCAGGCCGCGAACTTATAAGACGTTTTGCTATATTGTTGACGCGTACCTGTCCCTGTTCGGGCGCCAGTTAATTATTTTCCTTATGGAATAATTAAAAAAAATTAATTATTTGAAGAAAAGTACTTTATTCTTTTAATCAAATTTTACAACTGAACTTATAAATTCTAATCTGGCCCTACCTAGCTGTGAGTCGTAGGCAGCGGTTTCGGCTGCGCTGCTCCTGTTGACCAACAATGGGGACGCCTTCGGCAGCGGTGATTCTGATTGGAAGCTTTAGTGCTGAGTCGCTCGATATTTTGGTGTCGATCCATGATTGGTGCACTTGAATGCACTTGCATCGATGGGAACGGAAATGTTTGGCAATCGGTGGCTTATTCCTAGAATTTGGTCTTATTAGCGGAAACGTTGGGCAATCGCTTATTGCTTATGACTTGGCGCGTGCAGGAAATATTGCAGACGCTGAGTTTGCAATTCATTGAACTTGGGTTCAATGTTTTTGGTCTTAACTAACTTGGGTTCAATGTTTTAGTTCTTAACTTACATAAGTACATAGCCGTCTCTCTGCCGCCGCCTACGAGCAGCGCAGCTACGAGACTTAGCCTTACTTAGACTTAAGAAATATTGTAAAAGACAGAGACATTTTGATCGTTGGAGCGGCACCTCAGCTGCTCCTTCCAAATAAAAATCAACCAAACTTAACCCTTGGGTTTAATCCTTTTATCACAATTTAAGATTTCAAAACCTATTGTTAGTATTCAAAAGGAGAAGATTAAATAAATAAACACCAGAAAAAAATTATAGTAATAATAATAAAGCCCAATTAAATTAAAACCCAACAGCAAACGTAGTATTAATGTAGTAGCAGTATTAAAAAAATAATATTATTTAAAAAAAAAAAGAACAGAATGATGTTTTTATGGCAAATCAAAATTCGAACATAATTTAAAGGATATTTAATTTCTATTTCATTGAATTCTAGTTGACTAATATAGCAATATTTGCAATAGCTATTCAATTAAGTTTTATAAAAAGGGTTCAGTTGCTTGGAGGTGAAGTCTCATTGTTGTTGCTCTTGAATTTTTTACGAAATGAATTAAATTACAGCCAGGTGACAGCACAAAAATTTTATGTTTGACTCTTGAAAGCTTGAAGTTTTATTGGGATCACTTTACATCTACATTTATTGTTTAACTTGCTTTACTTAATATTTTGAATTCGTTAATTTTAACACTACCACTAGTTGATCCGCTAGCTGCTCTGTTACCCGAGATCGGCTTTTCGAGCGGCTGAGGATGGCGGTGTCGTTTGCGAGCGTGAATGTAGTTATACACTCGTTTGTGCGGATGTTAACTGTTTAGAGTACAAAGTGTGTGGGTCTTAGAAGACTACCTTGAGGCACTTCAGATTCTAGAATATAGTCCTTAAATGTTGTTCTTTTTAACATACCCAAAAGTTTAAGCTATTTATTATTATTCTCTGCCAGTAGGTTTTTCATATTATGATGCATGAGTAAATCTGGAGCTGGCTGGTACACAGAGCCAACTGTGCTTTTTCAGCTTTTCTTATTGGATTTACAAAGTCCCGTCTTATGGAAACACAACGTCAACGCTTCACATTTCCCGGGGCCATTCATAGCGGTGTTAATTGGGAAAGCCCACAAAAGCAGTAAATTCTTTCCTTATATACTTACATGATTTACACTACTTTAAGACCCAAAAGGTTAGGAAACATTCATCCTTACACGCTCGGTCCGAAGTACAACCTCGATATCCAGAACGGCAATATCATCAGCATTCGCATGTACTCTGGGGCCATGGCTACTCTTCTCGGTGATAATATCGGAAACAGTCTTGACCATTATGACTATTTCATCGCGTATTTACCTGTGGGTCCAGTGATGTTCAATTCAAAATATTTACCTATTTCTGCCTGATAAGGAGCTAGCTATTTATTACCGAACTACACCACACCTGCTTATATTATAGAACCGAAAAATATAAAAAATCCGGTTGGTTTTCTACTTTAAATAGCAACGATCTTTGTAATAGAAATAAAAAAATTGTTACCGCAGTTAAATTAAAATACATTTTTTATTGAACATGTAGTTATATTAAAATAAATTATTGATATGCATTAAGACAGATATACATTAAAGCTGTCCTCATGCTTACATTTTTGGGTTTTCGAATGTGGGTCCCCGGGTAATAGAAATATCTGCGTATGGAGCAGATTGAGCAATGTGAAGCACCTTAAATTTCTTTAATACTAGTAGAGAATAAAACTTTTGGGCCGCCTGAAAGTAAAATAAATATTCTTTGTTTATTAAAAATATATAATCTTTTATTAATTATACAGTTCACTGTCGGACAGATTTGAATCATTATAAAGAAAAAGGAAGGTAAACTAAGGCACTATGTAACGGTATCAGACCAAATCAGAAGAACATATTTCAGAAAATTTTATGAAGTATTGTAAAAAAACGACTAATAAAGAGAGGGCATTGTTTGTTCGTATCATATAGAATTTTCACCAATTTTAAAGACACGTTCCTGCCGCATTTTTTCTATTTCTCAAGAAAATTTGTCGATGCGCGTTAGAAAATATTTGCTGCCCGTAGAGAAGATATCAATATGTAAATTTTTTCCAGTTTCTTTGACTGCCTATCGTATTTGTCCATTGCACAGATCCTGCAGTCCTGAAACTTTTCGTAGGGTAATTTTTACACCTTTCTTTCTTTCCATTGCTGTTCAATTACTTATTTAATAAAAATAAAAGATTAAACTAATCCATCGTCGTATAGACCAATAAGTTTACTGTCATGTCTCTCAAAGCCGCAACTGTTCACCATTCAAAAACCAACATGAACTAACAAACATTTTAATTACAGAAAAAGCTGATCACAAAACAGCACATACAATATACCACACTCGCCATTACCATCCACTACCCATAAGCTTCGACTCAATTGTATCAAAAAATCTAACCAACACTATAATACCAAGCAAAACAACAACATCAACACTCAGCAATCAAAATAAAAACGCACAAGAAGCCCGCCAAAGCAAACCACCTACATACTACGACGACATCTTAACCCACACCCACAGAAGACCTACTAGCTCCAAACATATGACAAGCGTAAAAACACAGGACCTATACCTTCGAATTTTTTCAACAAATAGGCACAAAATCATCTACCACCTCCAACCAATCAACCTTTAAAATGACCATGAAAATTGTACAAGGGAATTCGAATGGATATCTTAACAACTACTGCGAACACTACTTAATCATTAAAAAACACTTACCGCTTTTAATAGCATTACAAGAAACTAATATAAAATACCTCAATATACCAATAACTGTTAATTACTCCCTAATAGAAAACAAGAGGAAACGCTATAGTCGAGTGCCGCGACTATAAGACACCCGTTACTGTTTTACACAATTTTAAAATATTTATTTTGCTAGTGGAAATTTCCAAGCGCCACCTATTGTCGGAGAAATCATGTTGAGTAACTTATAGTGACGTCATTGCCCATGTGAGGCCTTATAACTTATATTTCTTCATATACAGCGAAATAATGTTCCGATTTGAAAAATCTTTGGTAAATCGATAGATATTCACAAAAATATATTTTACACCGTCAAACGAAAACATACATAATAATGTTATGGACGCCACAGTTCCGCGGTTTGTGGGCGTTACAGTAGGCGTGGCCGAATGAAAATTAGGGACAAGTTGCAGTGGCATCTTTTAAATACGCATTTTTAAGCACAACTTTCTAGCTCTTATAGTTCTTGGTTTTTTGAGTTTTGTGTGCGTTAGAGTGGGTGTGGCATAAGGGGCATCATAAAAACCAACATGCTTAATTCGGACTTTGATGCGAAAAACATCATTAAAAATGCTTGGTCTGCAAAAACACAGATGGAAAACTCACATGGAACTACTAAACAACAATCTCAAACACTATATTAACGTAATAAAATGTCTCTCAAGCGCAAAGTTTAACTGGAACACATCTGCAATCCTAAACGTCTCAAAAGCAGACTACGGTCTTCTACTGCGCAAAGTAAAGTCAAAAATCAACACAGCCTTTAGAACTGCTTTCGACTATACATACTGATACCAAGACTAAACATACTGAATTTCAACTCTTTAGCTCTTATAGTTCCTGAGATTTAAGCGATTTTAGTTTTTCGTGATTTGTGGCCGTTAGAGTGGGTGTGGCATCATGCTGAAATAAACTTGCGCTGTCCAGGGATCTCAAGAATCTTCATGCTTAATCTCAACTTTTTACCTTTTCCTGAGATCTCAGCGTTCATACAGACGGACGGACAGACAGACAGACATGGCTCAATCGACTTCGCTGTTGATCCTGATCAAGAATATAGATACTTTATAGGGTCGGAAACGCTTCCTTCTATCTGTTACATACTTTTCAACGAATCTAGTATACCCTTTTACTCTACGAGTAACCTCGAAAATAAAATTCGACTTATTTCGGCATACATCGCTCCGAACAAATCGTTCTCACTACAAAACCTTCAGGCTGTATTAGACAACTCTCCCACACCCACAATTGTCACTGGTGACTTCAACGGCTGGCACAAAAACTGGGGCCCAAAGCAAAACAATCCTAGAGGGAAAATACTAGAGAAAAACATAAGAAAATCTAACTACAATCTTCTAAACGATATGTCTCCAACACATATCAGCACACACAACTCTCTAACAAATGTCGATCTGACTTTCGTCAGCCCACTCCTTAAAAATGACAGTACCTGGCGCACAGAAGATAACCTTTTTGGAAGCGATCACTTCCCCGTCATAATTAACCTCTTCCCATTAAATACTGCTAACTTACAATCAACCACACGCAAACCCACTTTCATTATGGATAGGGCAAACTGGCATAAATTTGCTCCACACACTCCGTGGTCCTTTTTGTGATTGCATATAACACATTAACAGAAAAGCTCACACTTCACCCGAACATCAGCCTAAGCGCATACGCAGATGACTTCAACATCATCCTAAAACTAAACAAGAGGAAACGCTATAGTCGAGTGCCGCGACTATAAGATACGCGTGGAAATTCACAAGGCGCCACCTATTGTCAGAGGATGCATAGTTAGTAATAAATAGTGACTTCACAAACCATGTGAGGCCTTATAACCTAAATTTCTTCATAAATAGCGAAATAATCTTCTTAGTTAAAAAAACTTTAGTAAATCGATAGATATGAACAGAAATAAGTTTGTCAAAGTCAAACGAAATCATTCAAAATAATAATTATAGACGCCAGTTTTCCGCAGTTTGTGGGCGTTAGAGTGGGCGTGTCCGGATGCAACTTCGTGGCGAGTTGCAGTGGCATCTCTTAAATATATATTCTTAAGCACAACTTTGAAGCAATTATAGTTTCCGAGATTTTTGCATTTTTGGTTTTTCGGGTGTTGTGTGCGTTAGAGTGGGCGTAGCTTGATCGGAAAAACAATTCGCATTAGGGACTTCTAAAAAACCTACACGTTTAATCCAAACTTTCTATCACTTATAATTTCCGAGATAACATTATTCGTATCGTCTATACCTATGACCTTAAATATATGAACGGACATATTCGTTAAACGTTCGGTGACTTCGTTCAATAGTCCCTAAGGTTTGATGGTGGCGTGCAGTCGATGAAATGTTGTCAATATTCATATATTTGCATAAGTCTCCTATTATACTGTTCTTATACTCTGTGCCCATGTCTGAAGAAATAAACTTCATTGGGCCGTAAACGAGTATAAAGTTTTCAAAGATTGCTTTCGCAACGCGATTTGCGCTTTTATTCGGAATTGGTACTGTTACTAAGTATTTAGTTAAATCACAAATAATTGTGACTTAGTATTCGTTTCCTTCGAACGCGGTAATGGGCCAATAGTATCAATTAACCGTGTCAAAAGCTGATGTGGGTGTCTCGGTAATGGTAATTGGCGTTCTTGTATGAGTGGTTGTCTTAGATTGTTGACAGGTCTGACAGGTTTTTACGTATCTAGTAACTACTTTTGTCATGTTTGGCCAATAGTAATGTAGCCTTATTTTTGATAATGTTCTCGTTATTACTGAATGGCCTCCTTCGATTAGATCATGAAATTTTTTAAGATTTCTCTTATATTCCTTTCTTTTTTTGTTTTTGTCTACTATGATCACCTCTGAAAGTAGCGCTATTTGTACTTATTTTAATGTACGGTTGCCCATTTCTTTAAATTCTCGTAGTAATACTGACTTTAAAATCAGTGCGCTGGGTGCCAGTTGGAAGTGTTTTATGTTTTTCATTCTTGCGTGTATCTCAAGCCTTTGGAAAATTTTTTTTAAACCAATTTTCCCATTAGAGTACAAATTATCAATTTTGAGTTGTGAAATTATTCGTATTCCTTTAAGTTTCACATATTTCCTGATATCATTGTTATTTCCTTTTCTGATTTCTGATCCTGATTTTTACGTGTTTCTGACCCGGTTGTAATTTTCATTACCCGTCTATTTATTGACTTCAGGTCATTTTTTGTAATTCTGGACAGCGGCGTCCGTCTCATAATTATTTTTCCCTTTGAGGTATTCCGCAGTAAAATCGTATATTTCTAAATCTAGCCTCATTCTTGTTAATTTTTAACTGGGGTCTTTCATTGAAAATAGATATATTTATGGTCGATGGTCTGTTTTTACTATAAAATGTCTCCCGTAAACGTATAGTCTGAAGTATTGTATGGCCCAGTGGATGGCTGCTAATTCTTGTTTAGTGGTTGACTTGTTGGATTCTCCTTTTGTGAATGATCGAGACTCATATGCAACTGGTAAGTGCGCGCCCCCATGTTCTTACGTAAGTACCAGAGAACGGCAAGGGTACACCCAGACAATGAGTGCACTCGAATCATTTGTGCCTTTTCGGCACTCAGAGTCTGATCGGCACCCTAAAATAAGGGTGTGTGTCTTGCACAGCTCATTTCGAATGTGCACTTGCGCACTAGTACTCTTTTGAATAGACACCCGACACACTCATAGCAAATGAATGGAGTGTCTGGGACACCCATGTTTTTGGGAAAAGTGAGTCGGGTGTCTTCAAATGATTCGAGTGTTTCGGGTGTCTTCAACTGATCTGAGTGTTTCGGGTGTCTTCAGCTGTATTGCATGAGCAGGTCATTGAGGGTTGACCGAATAATTTTACATGAAAGGAAGGAAGGAAATCCCAATAATGGTCCCTTAAAACAGGCCAAATATTTTAGGATTTTCCGTGTCAGGTCATCTACTTG